TCAGACCCATAATGATCCTCCTGATTTCTGCCTCTCTAGTGCTGGGATTACAGACGTGTGCCACCATGCCTGGACTCCATCGCCAGCTCAGCATGCCCAGGGGCAGGACAAGCATGGCATGTGGTACCAGGGATCGAACCCTGCCCCTGAGAAGCTTCTGGGAAAGAATTTCCAAGGTACCCACCCTCTTTCCAATTCCATCTAAGAGATCTGAGCATACCACCCTAAAATGCTAAGAGTGATTATGACTATTTCAAAATGGAAATTTATCATTTGAAAAACCTTCCCTAAAAATTCAGATACACAACCTGGATAAAAGCCAGTTTTTAAGTAAAAAATTTATACCACTTTAACTAGAAGTCCTCTCAGAACTCAAGTAGTAGGTTAGACTCTAAACAAAATATACATTTTATATAAGTTCAATTTTGTTATGTATACTATCAAGAGAAAATTACATGTTTATGCACTTTGATTTTGTTTTTTTTTTTAAAAAAAATACACATCAGGATAGCTTTCATACAATAAATAAGGCTTCCTTCAAGGAAAGAGAATGTGAGTAGAGTTCCCAAGAGTAAAAGGCCATGGAATTTTTAAACTGGGGTAAAGCAGTGCTGAACCTCTTTCTACTACCCTACAAACTGGGACATAAGCTCTCTCAGAAAGAAAGCCTATCTATGATGTTCACATATCATGCCTATTATCTATCATAATGCTAGCTTATAGTAAACACTCTATATACAGCTAGTGTTAAGTGAATAAATGAATAATTAAATAAAACAGTGCTAACTTCATCTGATTAATAGCTTTTCTTTGACCTACACAAAAAAATTTATATGATATTTAAGGCCCTGTATAATGTGGCTCCAATCTGCTTATTCTGTACTATTCTTTTCTCTTTCCACAAGTGGTTCTGTAGGAAGACCCTCAGCCATATCCCATTCTTTCCCATAATGCAGAGCTCACAAACTGCCCTATTATCCACCTCTTCCTATTAACACACAGCCTTATCCACGTGAGAAAGATATAGTAATAAATCTATACCCAACCATATGAGGGAAGACAAATAACAGCCACACAATTATTTTTAAAATAACACAGGCATTACTTTATTTTAAAACTGAATTGAGGACCAGAAGGATAGCTCAGTAGAATAAGTGCTTGCCTGGCAAGCACAGGGTCCTGAGTTCAATCCCTGATATTGGGGGGGAAAAAAAATCCCTGAACTGAGTACGTGTTTGAACTGGAGGAAAAAAAATTTATAGTCAACAGAGCCTTTTGAAAGACCAGAAACAGAATTGTAAAACTGTATAGAAAGGATGAAAAACTGTAGATGATCACCCACAAAATTCCAAAGAAAGAGGCAACGCTTATTCATAAAGACTTCAAATTCAGGAAGTCTAAAGCTAATATAAAACAAGAAAAACAGTACCCATTTTCTAAATTAACTTGATAGGTTTTTTGGGGGTGCGGTTGTTTTTTTCTTTGTTTTTAGGATATAGTTCGGACTCACCTTGCATTCACAGCAATCCGACAGGCTCAATCTCCCAAGGGAAAACAGGTATAGTATCACTATACCCAACTCAACTTTTAATACTAACAATACTGATACGTTGGAAATGCATTTCAAGAAAAAAATCAGACTGACACAGGCACATAAACAAAAATGCATCTAGTTTTATTATGTGATAGGACATTAATGTGCCATTGCTTAATGTTAAATATGATCAATTTATACATAGAAACTAATCAAAAAGAAAGTTTTGAACCTACCTCCACGAGAGGCAAGGACATTACCATCATAAGAAAAAGCCACACAAGAAGTGTCTGTGCCTGGATCATGAGCCTGTTTATAGTGAAATTTAGGATGGACCTGCGTACAAACAAAAGCAAAGTGTTAACACTTCACCTAAATTCAGATGAGAACATGTCTGTGACAAGAACAGTGCATTGTATCGTGCAGAAAATTATGGAAAACTATACACAAAGTACTAATTTCACCTAATTACATTTTTCTTTCCTGAAAAAAGTCAAAAGGCTTTTCAAAACATACTTTATTTTAATAAAGAAGAGATAAGGTAAGCTCCAGAAGGAACCATTTTTCAGACTGCCTTAGCAAGCTCTGAGCAACACAAGATTTAGTTTTGGTATTATGCTTATAAAGTTAATTGGACCGTTTCCTATATTTATCTAAATGAGAGGCTATAAATAAAAATTATAAATGAGCAAATTACTCATTTACACAAGAATACTTATTGTCAGGCTGGGGGTGTAGTACAGTGGTACAGCACTTGTCTAGCATGTGCAAGACCCTGAGTTCCTCCCCAGTGGCTATATATAATGTTTTGTGTATAGTGGTCCCCCCAAAGCCTCATGCGGTCATGGGGCAACTTCTGGAGTTTGTAATTGATTATTGTGAGTGTGGATGCTGCACCTGCCCTTGGGAAGGTAATCTGCATTTCAATGTAGGAGGGAAGAGAAGCTAGCTGCTTGAGCTAGCTGCTTGAGCTGCTGTTACTCCTCCCTTTTGCTTTTGATCTTTGCCACCTCCATGAAAGGTAGCTCTCTGCCATGTGCCAGGCTGCCGTGGAGCCAGCTGAGTATGTACTGAAACCTCCAGTAACTGTGAGGTTTCCTTCCTTCGTTTTGAGTGTTGGGTATTTGTCCCAGCAATGAGAGAAAAGTAACTGAGACAATTATATAATATCTATATTATATATTGCATTCCTAGTATATGTTAGCTACTGGGCAAGTGGTTGTAAATCTTAAACTACGTATCTTCTTGGTTTTGGGGGAGGGTATGAGGAATCAAACTCAGGACTTTGCACTTGTCAGGCAGGAATTTGTGCCACTGAGTCTGCTGATAGTGTTAACAGTGGTAACAGTAACAATGGTAGCTGACCCTTAACAGGTACCATATCCTTTCTTCCTTGCATACTCAGTCCTCACAATCACTCTATGGATTAGGTTCTACCATTATTTTCCTTCCCCATTTTGCAGCTCAGGAAACTACAGCACGAAGAGTTAAGCATAGAAGCGAGGCCACATGGTTATAAGTGGTAGAGCTAGCAGCCTGAAGCCAAGAACCCTTTAACAGTGTACTACAACCCTTTTCTTTACTTTTTTTTTTTTTTAACTTTTAATGTCACTTCTGCACCCCTGATGACTATCCCACCACTCTGGCCACTCAGGATTCAGTGGCATAGGTCTCCCTTTAAGAGGTTATGACAAGGGGCCGGGCAGATGGCTCAGTGGAATAAGCTCTTGCCTGGCAAGTGTAAGGGCCTGAGTTCAATCCCCGGTTCCGCAAAAAAAAAAAAAAAAGAGGTTATGACAAGAGTTTGAGAAAAGCTAAATTTTCTAGAGCTAACTTATTATTTATTTGTTTATCCTATTTGATTAAAGGCTTACTGTATAAAAGAGTACAATTGTCAGTAACTATTTCTGCCCAAACATTCAGCATATGACTTTCTTATATAGTGGTACCTTGGTTTACAAACTTAATTTGCTTTAAGATTTTGGAGAAGACAGCAGTGGTTGTGTTTGCTACCCAATGCACAGTTTGCAAACAGAAGCAAAATTTTGCCAAATACTCTTGCTGCTAGCCAAATTGTTTGCAAACAGAAACATTCATGAACAGAATGTTTGCAAACAGAAACATTCAGATATTACTGTAGCTTACACCATTTCCTAGAAGCCATTTCTATCACAGTCATTGTCTTGAAACATATGGTTGGGGTAGACACTAGAACACAAATGGTTATCCTAGGAACGTCTCCTCTCAAAATCACAAAAAAGTTTTTCCAATGTTTTCTTTCTAAAAGTACTTAACAAATATGGCTTTTACTGTTGTTTTTAAGACTTGGAAGATAAATTTGCTAGAGCTGACAGATTAATTTGCTAGAGTTGGCAAACTTACATCAGAAACTTACAAACAGAAACATACATCTCACAGTTGTGCGGCTAGAGGTTCAGGACCAAAGTGTCAGCAAGGTTGCTTCCTTTCCCTAGCTAGTATGTCCTCTCTTAACTAACTGCATCTGCAATGCCCCTATTCCCAAATAAGGTCACACATTCTGAGGAACCAGAGATCAAGGTGAAACTTTTATAAGCAAAGAATGCCAAAGATTATCAGCAAACCATCACAAAAGGCATGCAGTAGTGTCCCACAGTCCTTCTAGTAAAAAAACTGGTATGATGTCTTTCACAGCGTCATAAATACACTGATTTCTGAACTTTTCAATAGTTGAAACATTTTATGATTGCACCAAGGATGAGTACTGATTACTCTGTCACCAATTATCTATATCCCAATGTCTGTGTCTTGCTCCAGCATATCAATATAGGAAGACGGCCCTCAAAGATCATTTCATGATTTCTAAATAAATAGAAATCATGCAGTGAAAATATTTTATTAGTTTGTACTTTGTCTGGTTTTTGTTTGTTCATTTGTTTGAGAGAAGGTCTCACTAGGTAGTTTAGGCTTTCTGGCCTTGAACTTGTGACAATCCTCTTGCTTAAGCTTCCTGAGTACTGCAATCATGGGCATGAGCCACCACACCCAACTATGAAGTATTTTAAATCAAAAAATTTAAGTGAATTACTAAATTTAGGCCACTTGGTCTAAATTTTTGCCAGCTATCTTTAAATTTGAACCTGGCTAACCTGCTTAGTCTATTTCTCAATGTATTCATCTTTAAAATAACATGGCTTCCATCTTCATAACCTTGCCCTTCTCCCTACCATACAAAAAGAACAGTTATATTTAACCTGTTATCTCCCTGCCTGTACCAATACCACAATCTTATTAAGTCTATAGTGCAGTAGTGGTGAACCTATGGCACACAGAGGACTGTTTATATCATTGAGAGCTCTAAAAGGTTCACCATCACTGCTGCAGTGGGTATCTGTTTTAGCTACTTTTCTCATTGATGAAACAAAATATTCAATGCCCAATGATAAAGAATGAAAGGTTTATTCACTTCATAGTTTGCAGAGGTTTCAGTCCATTGTCAGTTGGTTCCAAAACAGGGTGGCATGGCATGGGGGCACTGAACAGGAGACACAATTCATGGCAGGCAGAAGGTAGCAAATCATCAGCAGCAACAGCAGCAAACATGTCTATCTTTGTATTTTATCCAGACTACCCATCCTTTAGGTGTTGCCACCCACACCCAGAGTGGGGCACTTTTGATCCCAGCATCACTCAGTTAATCCAAGTAGCATACACCACAGATCCAGCCATCTCTGAAAACCCCAGGCATGACTGGAAGAGGCTTTGGGGGAGCATATAGATATAAGTCATAATAATATTTCCTTTCCAGAGGTGCCAAACTACACCCAGGCTTCCAAAACACAAACTCTAAGAGCAAGATGAAGCAAGCATTAGGCTAACTTACAAACTAATATTCAATTGCCCTTCACATCTAACTCTAAGACCCCTTAATAGGTAGAACATTTCTTTCTCATTGGGCATCTACTTTCAAGCTCAATAATAAACAATTCTAATATATATTCACATATAACAGTTATCCTAAAGAATTTGGGGCACAGAAAAATCTGAAGACTTAGTCTTGCCTACATACCACAGATTTGACTGGAGGTGACCTAAGTAAACAGAATGTGCTCACAGATATAATGCTTTAAGTATTTAAAAAGCTGTGGAAAAGAATGCTGTCTACAAAGACAATACTGTTGGTTGGTCAGTGCTAAATCTAATTGCACCCTGCAAAAAGATGAGAAAGTGAAAGCCGTTAACCTATAAAGACTAAATGGGAGAACTAGAGAACACTGTAGCAACTTTCAAAGAGGATGTCATCTCGTATAATAAAAGCACTGAGCAACAAAAAGACCTGAAATTTTGATTTATATAGCACTAGAGACATTTAAATGTTCAGCCAAGGCAGGTCTATTATTCTAAGGTTAGAACTCTTGGGAAAATTTAGAACATCAAAAAATAAGAGGATATTTGGATGAATGGCCCATCCGATGCTGAATTTACAGATACTCCATTTACTCACCCAAAACCACAAGAATTCTCAGTTTATAGTGACCCACACTTGTCTAATAAAAAATAAAATTTGCCAGGTGTGGTGTCAAATGCCTCTAATCCCAGCAATTGGGAGGTTGAGGCAGGAGGATCACCACCAGTCTGAAGTATATAGCAAGA